GCCTGCCAAACGTAATTTATTATCATGGTGCCAAGAAACGGTAGCCTTGGTGTGACGACAAACTGCCATAGACTTTGGCTGGCATCTTCTCTCTGCAACTAACCCCCCCCACATTCCTTTTACTTACTCTCTCTCTGCACCGTGCGTGTCTTTTCTCCAGTTCTCAAAATATCCCTGCAGTGCTGCAGAGTTGAGAAGAAGAAGGAGAAAAACAAACAAACAAACAATGATTTTGCATGCAACAAAATGGAGCCAAAAAATTATCTTGTCAGAAATGGACTAAATACACCAAGTACATGCTGGTGTGAGCTTTTAAACTTCTTTCTTTCATAAAGACCAACACTTAAGTCAGAGAAAGGAAAAGCTGTGTGTGACGTCTTTCAAACGTTATGAACTGACCAGACAGCTTTTCATAATTCATTATTTTTCATTAACATGAAGAAATGTGATAGAAGTCACTGAGTTCAACACATTACATGAGAATGGATCCATATGGAAGTATTTAGGTAATCCGAAGTGTGTGCTACTAAGCCTCTGTGTGTCTAGACTGATCAGAGAGAGTGGGTGTTGCATCTTCCCGACAAGCTCGTATCCAGCAGTGTTTGATGGGCCAGCTGATGCTGTGATACCGAAATGCATTACGCCGATCAGCCACTGCATGACTATAAAACCGCTGAGGTGAAGTGAGCAGCAAGCTTCATCATCTCACTACAATGATTACAATGCAACGCTCACCGGGGAGAGTTCAGGTCAGCGTGTTTATCTGGAGGTTGCTTTGACCAGAACCGCGCTGTGGCAGATCCATGGTACCCATCATCCCAAAGAATCATGCCTTGGTCACATGGTGACCTGTATATGTACACCAGAAAATTTAAAAAAACAGCTTAAACATAAGTATATGCTTAGCAACAGGCCAATACTTCCCAAAAATCCAAATCTTATCAAAATGCACAAGAGGATGACCATTTTTTTAATTGAATTCCAGTTCATCGCAGTTTATCAACACCCATGGGGAAATTATGTTATTGTAGAAAAAAAAGTGACTTTTAATCCTTAAATTTATGAAAAAAAATAAAAGAATTTATTCATTAATTGAAATCACCTGACAATTGTTTGTGTAGTTGAAGCGTTGCAGGGACAGAGGTTGTTGAAGTTGTCAGAGATCCGCATTAAAAAAGCAACGGGACAGAAATCCCCTGACAGTCCTCTTAGTCCAGGAACACACACGTTTCTGTTAACAAGTGCTCCTACTTTATTCTTATTACTCCATCTGCAGCCTCTGTCTGAGAGCTTTATGGAGAGCCACTGAAGTCGAGCATGTTCTTCAGTAAAAGGCAAAGAGGGCAGTTAATGCCCAGACCTGAGATTCTGATAGTCGGTGATGCTGTTTTGAAGGATATGAAGTATGTGTGTGGGAAACGTACAGTAAACATTGTGGATACTGAAGTGATAATTATTGGCCCTCTACCACCAATAAGAGGAGATGACAGATTCAGCAGGCTGTTTAGCCTAAACAAATGGCTGTCTGGTGTGTGTAACACATTCACCTTTAGTTTTGTTGACCATTTTAGGTTTTTCTGTGGACCATGTGATTTTATTACAGTGGTTAGGGTTAGGGTTAGTGATTCAAGTCATACCTCGAGAACAGGTGTTCAAATTGGGATCTGTGTCTCAGACCGAATGGGTCTGACCTCTGGGGTTACCCAGGGTTCAATTCTGGGACCCCTTTTGTTCAGTTTGTACATGCTTCCATTGGGACAGCTATACGCATCCATAATGTGTCCTACCAAAACTCTGCCGATAACACTCAGATCTATGTGTCACTGACAGCAGGAGAACATGGGCCTGCTGATTTATTTTGTCGCCGGAATTGAACAGATCAGTTTGTGGATGCAAAAACAACTTTCTCCAGTTAAACCCAGACAAAACTGAAATCATAGTCTGTGGCCCACAAAAACTAAGAGAAAGTGTTATTAATCACCTTTAGACTCTCTCTCTGGAACATAAAATCTAAAATCTGGAAGAAATCTTCCTGAAGAGACAGGACTCAACTCTGACAATATTTAAATGTAGCCAGAAAACAGTTCTGTTTATCTGTGCGTATGGAAACTTAATGTATTTCATCTGTACCCTTTAGGTCTGCTTTTTCTATTTCTAATAGTGTAGCTGCTTTTATGAACATTAATAGGAAGTTGTTTTGTAGGAATAAGGAGTGTTGTTTAGGTCAGATGTGGTGCAGTGGCCATGAGAAGTCGGTGAGTCATCTTCTCATTGGGTCTTTTCATTGAGTTTAGGACTTAGTTTTGGATCTCTGATTTAGGAAAAAGTGGCTGACCACCATCACTGTAGATTATTTTTATTCTGTTTTAGCCTCTAAGGATTGAGATGATCCCTTGACATGATGTGTATAAATGATGCTGTTAATTCCCACAATTCAAATAAATCCTATTCCTTTACAGTTCAATTATTTCATAGGTTGTCAGTGCAAGCCTTCATGTAATCGTATAGCTTTTTGGTACAGGACTATGACGACTTCTTGACGGACACGCTAAGAATCCATTAAGCTTTAGAGCTCTCTCTGCAGTGAATGGACTGATATATGGATGATTCATCCTTCAATCTAACTGTTTGTGTGGCGAGGGGAACAAGCAGTCCTTCACATATTTAAAAAAACACAAGATGACACAGTGAGCCCACATGCATTACTCAGCTCACATTGAGCCTGCCACTGCGGTCTCAATTTTATTTTAAAATCCCAAAATGTGACGAATTCTAGCCCACAAAACAACAAAAAAAGAATATCACCACATTTAAAATATAGAATGCAGGAAAAGTTCTTCCATTTTTGCCTATGTGTTTGGCATGCAGGGTTGAGCATTCCTCGAATTGCATGAATTGTGAGAGTTAACAACAGTGTTTGTTTGGTCATAGTTTAATAGTTATTTCTTAAAAGAATGTCTGCAAATGAGCATTTCCTCATGCATTACCAAGCCATTTGTTTGTTAGTATGTTTTTTGATATTGAATAGAAAAAGTTTGAGTGCTTATGAACTCATGATCTGAGTATTTGCACCTTAGTGGCCTTAGTAACATCATCAGTGATTACTCACGTGAAAAAATCACGCTTCAATGGTCTCTGCACAGACGCAAAAACATGCAGAGCTGTCAAAAACTGTCAACAATACACATGGGTTCATTATGTGACCATATGTTTCATGCTCACGCTGTCACACCTGCTTATACACCTTACAACTTATGACCGTTCATCCAGTCCGAGCACCAGATTTCTTAAGGAGGCCAGTGAGTGCTCTCTCTTTGGGGAGATTAGGTGTTGACATTTATCAGTGCAACGTATCTGCTGTACCTTCATATTTATAACAGCTCAAAGTGAAAGTCTGCCTTATACCTGTGGACAAGTTACACATGCACACATCTCCATTAACTGCAGCTGTAGAATTCAATTTGCACAACACCTAATGATTTATAAAAACATAGCCTATTTTCTTGAGCCTTTATGGATTCAGTTCCCCACAGAAATTGCCGCTGATTTCCAAACTGATCACTGTACCTCTCACAGCCTCTTGATAATTTCAACCAGCTCACACACTCAGGGTATAAAATTTCACAACACACAAAGTGTCCCTTGGCAATGATGCTGTGACGCACTGGCCGTAGTGATACTTAATGCCCTGAGCAAATGCCACATTATTAATGAGCTGCAATGTCCACATCAGAAGAAGAAATTAGTCAAGGGGAGCTGTTTTAGGCCCCAGGCTCCACACCTTTCCAGCACTCTTTCTTTACGATGCCTACTAAATACAGCACTGGGCATCCCTTTTCAGTCAGTTGTAAAATATTGTACTTTTCTGCACTGACTCACTGTTTTGTTTGATTTGGTCACAAAATGGGTTTGGTGGTTTGCAAAACCTACGTATTTTAGGCACAAAGATAGTTTGTTGTTGTCAAAAGAACATGCATTTCCAAAAATGCACATCATCTGAGGGCATCATCGTTGCAAATTAGAAGATACCTAAAGGTGTCGACCAAACAGATGGGATATAACGCTTATCTTTTAATTATCCAGAAAATATTAAAACTGTTGCTCAACCTAATTTTAACATAATCTGACAGATTATTTTGGATTAGTTTTATTTAGCTCTGATGAATGAGAACCAATTTGCGGGTTTGTATTGGTGATGGCTAAATTAAAGAACAATCACTATAACCCAAAGGTGTACGATTAGCCCTTTGATTTTTTGGAAACTTTATAGATTTGAGATTTTAGTTATACAAAGTGACCGAAGAAGAGGAAGTCAGGTCGGAAAGTTCCACACAGCCACAGCAATGTTTGAAGAACAATGCTAATATTGGCTTTACAAAAGCATGGATGACTGAGAACTAAAAGGTCAACATAATTGGTCAATAAGAATACATGCCAATATCGTTAGAATAACGAAAACTTCCTAGAAACATTTAGAACATAAACTTGAACCAACACAGCATTTGCAGGAACCCCGTTTCACACAGTTTGTCATGAGTCACACGTAAAATCCCCTCTTGATAGCCCTCTCTACATTATGTGTCAATCTTTACTGAAGGCTGAGAGTGAAGTTATTACAGTTGTAAACTGTATAAGTGTCTGCATGCCTCTGCTGAACTGCACAGCTTGTTCCTGAATCATCTGTTCCCAGCAGTCATGATCATAAAGTATACACTTGTTAGTCATGTTCTTTTTCTCACACCATTTTGTGACTTCCTCCCAAGGACATCTCCCTCCCCACAAGGCTTATGTGTTTGATAAACTTACTGAGGAGAAAATTGAATTTAGAACAAAATGCGACTTGAGTGTGTGGGCGAAAAGGGCTGCACATTAACAATTTATCTCTTCTGGTTTTTTCTCTCCATCTTCTCTATCCAATTCTCTTCACTCTTTGATCTGTCTTCATCTGCACTGTTTTCCATCGCCCTCTTCCCGTGCAGGGGATGAAGTGGTTCGGCAGAATGTCCCTCGATAGCAAAAGGAGTAAGCGGAGGAGCAGAGGGAGCAGCAGAGGGAGCAGCGGCGTGCTGTTCTCTGTGGCCCTCCTGTTGGTGGTGGCCATGATGGCGGAGCCTGCAGCAGCTCAGAAGCAGCGAGCCGGCGGTGGCTCGGAGAAGGTGCCGGTCCTGAACATTGCCGTGATCCTGGGACGCACACGCTACATCTCAGACCGGGACATCCGGGCTCTGTGGAGCAAAGAGGATCCCATCGACGTCAACGTGGTCACACTGCTGGTCAACGAGACCGACCCCAAGAGCATCATCACTCACATGTGCGACCTGATGTCGGGGACCAAGATCCACGGCGTGGTGTTCGGGGACGGCACCGACCAAGAGGCCATCGCCCAGATTTTGGATTTTATTTCCTCACAGACGCTCATACCCATCCTGGGCATCCATGGAGGGTCGTCCATGATCATGGCTGATAAGGTATGGAGGATGGAGAAAATGTGTGACGGTTAAGATTGGCAGTGCGGTTTAAAAAAAATATTGGATGGAAGAATGCATTGTAATGAATGAAAGGCTGGATACGGTTTGACGAGTTGATGGTTGGTCTGTTTTGGGGCGATTTGTCACGGCCTTTGGCTTTTATCATTGGATTGTTGTTTCCAGTCTGTGAAATTTCACTGTCTGAGGAGACATGCTGGCTGGTAACTGTGCCTTGAAAAACACAAGTTTACCTGAGAAAGTACAGAGAGGGTCCAGGCCGGTGTTGGTAGAGAGACATGATGAGGAAGAAGACAAGGTGGTAGGAGGATGAGGTAAGTATCTGCTGAAAAGTCTTGGATACTTTACAAGTATTTGAAAAACAGGTGGAAAAGAGAGGAAGGAGGAAGATTTTAGACCAAGGAGGAACACAAGAGAGAGAGAGATGACAGGAGGAAGAATTTATGAAAGGAGTGGGTGTTGTGGTTGTCTGGCCAACACCGACTGTGCGGTCCAATGGGCTATAATGTAGGAAATCTCCATTCACTGTGCAAGAATCCCCCAGACAAAGCGCTAGAGGCTTGATTGGTTCCTCCCTTTAAATACGCAATGCTTCCCTGCCTGCCAATCACTTTCAACCTTGAGCAGGAATACGTCAGCAGCGCACGATTGTGTGTATTCATGTCAGTGATGAGCTCATGCAATTCATCACATTCACAATGCAGCCGTACTTAAATGTGTTATTTGCCCGGAAGATCAAAGAAGGCTTGCTTGCTGGGATGGGTGTGTTATAAGTGAATCAGACTAAAAGAAAAGAAAAGGAAATGTGCTCTCTTTTATGAGAAATTTGAAGGAAAAATTCAAAGATGAAAGTTTTAAAAAAGTGGGTCAGTTCAAATGTATTCAAGCAAAGACACAAATAAAGCCTCAACTGAAGCAGAATATCATCCAGGTAAAGCACTGTTGCCGAGGCTTTGCTTCCTGCCCAATTTAAGCAGAGGAAACAGCATGACCCCCATGAAAGGAGATACAAAAATTGACACTGTTGGCGTGGTAAACCGACTGTAAAATGTAGTTGCTCTACTCTTCACAAACTGCCAACCTCAGCTCAGCAGGTCTGTATCCTTTGGTCCCTGTGATATTTTGCCAATGAACACATTGTACATTTCAACACATCTGTAAAGTGTGTGACTGTACTCCTGGGATTGAGTCAGGGTGACAGACTGAGCTTTGAGACACACATAGAGCAGCTTCTCCCCTTTTCATCTTTGGTTTTCTGGCTTGTGATTTTTATTTTTCTGTTAATGTAATTAGCAGTAACAATACACAACACTTGTGTTAGTGCTAAAATGCTCAAGTATACAAAGAATTATTACCAATGTTTACAGCGAGCGCTTAAAAATCTAAAGGGTGACTTTATTACTGGGATGTTCAGCTGATGAGCCAGATGAGCATTTATGTTGCTATATTACTAATGAGTCGTTTTCAGTGGAGTTGCTCTAAATGACCTCGTTGTGATTGCCGTGGACAAACTAACCAATTTTGACTTTTTGCTATTGCAAAGGCTCTCTGCATTACCACTGCACTTCCTCTAACCTGTAGCCTCGGGTGGGTCTATGCTGCCACTTAACAGATGATATATATGTTTCAGCGGACTCTTCTTTCTCCCCAAGATTTTTTATCATTTTATTTTTTTGTTAGAGAAAAAATCCCATCTCTGCAGCTTGATTTACACTAGAAGAATAGGATTCTTCTTCCTATTTGAATTCGCGTGCTATTGCAGATTTCCCATTAACCCAAACCTGTGTTCCATGGTAAATGGCGTATTGGCTGCATTCAGCCCTCAGAGATTTATTGTGCTCGTTTAAAGTAAATATACAAATACTTTAAAGTTACGGTGGTAATGGTTTATTGATTCTATAATGGTACATGTGGCGCCTTTTTTATATGAGAAAGGAAAGGAGGGAAGGACAGGTCTGAGATAAGTTGGAGTAAATAGGGCACAGGAGAAAGGAGGAGTTGAGTGTTGGAACAGAGGGGGTGGACAGGGGCAGCAGAGAGATGAAGGGGTGAGAGATAATCCCTCATCTTGACCAGAGGGGATGCCGAGTGGAAGGGGATTACTGGATGTACTGATTGGCACTTTTTCTCCACCTATTTTAGGAGCACACACATCGCTTTTCCAATGCTTGAGAGGGTACTTGCTAATATTTATTTTCTCTAGAGATACCCAATCCTGAACCATAACCGCCACGTACCTGACCCTCACCTTCAACTAAGTCTATCCTTGATCCACAATACCCTCAAGAATAACTTTGCAGCTTTTATACACTCCACTCTCTATCTTTGGCCAGTTTGACATATCAAATGGGAATCATTTATCTTTCTTTAAGATCATGTTGTAAGAAAAGGAAAAGACTTGTCCACAAATTGTCTGTCTTTGTTTCAAAAAACAGTGCAGATTCAGTACAAGCAGGTGGTGGCTGGGGGGGAACGCACGATCTACTTCTTATAAGTACATCCAACTGTGAAATCAAAATTGTTGAGGATGCAGCTACATCACAGTTCATCCTGAGAAAGCGTTCAAAGCAATACTTGCGCAATGCTGACTCATGGACTCAACTCCAGTATCATCTGCTCTCAGCAACTTATGAACAATCGTCAACGAGAGCCAAAATGAGCTTTTATGGAAATCCAGAAAATTGATTGCATAGTACTTCTGGAACCAAGTGTTTTAATCTGGTCACATGACTTCTGAAAGCCAAAGTAACGGGATAAAAAAAAAAACACTGACTCACCAAGTCCCTTTGCTCTCCCCTGCCTTAAATCTTATATTAAAACCGACTCCAGAGGAATAGAAGTTAGGTTTATAAGCCTTCATTCCCACATGCAATTTGCACTGCAGGTATTTTTCTGCTTGTTTTAAAGAAGATAACTCCTCAGCTGGGACACTTGCCAGGGGAACAATTAGATGATTAGAAGTAATCAGTTTCAGGCGTTCAACAATGTAGTGAAGTGAAGAATCTATTTGTAAAAACAGGGGACTGCAGTTCAAAGATTAGTACGTGTCTGGCCTCCCTTGGTTTCCATTTTAATTTTTTCTTATACTGTCAGAGTTCAATAAATAATTTTGATTAAAATTTAAACACAGAGATGGCATCCTGCACAAGGATATCTGCAAGTATCAGAAACTAAAACACATTTTTAAATAAATAATTCCTCATCATTTAAAACAAACAGAAAAACTGGAATTTAATAGTATTCTCTCCTTTGCCAAATCTGGGGACCTGCTGCTGCAGAACACGTGCACAGAGTCCAGGTTAAGTTACTATGTAGGTCATTATTGAATGGAAATGGAAGATACTGCCTAATCGAAGCCATTTTGCAAACAAAATTGTAAACCTGTTGTTCACGTCCCCTTGGGCTCGCACAGAAGATTAAGAGCGAGAACCAATTCGTTTCGGTCAGATTCTTCTATATTTAAAGGCAAAACAAGAGGGTGCTTAACCATAACTTTAAAACATTCCCGTCTGCATGC